CTATCTGATGTTGAGTTCAGGTATTTAATGCTGATTATGTTACGTGATGCTGATTTTGAATATTCCCCACTGATACTGTTAACTGATTTGATGTTGTTGTTGTCTAATATCTGATGCTGAATTTAGTCAGTTCAATGTGATTCAATGTGTTATCTGATACTCATTTGTTGTTGGTGGTGCTGTCCAATGCAGATTTTGAAGATTATGTTTCAGTTTTGTAACTTGAAGCTGCTGATTTTCTAAAGCTGAGTTTCATGTCTACTGATGATTTCATTATTGGACACTGATCTTATGACCCTTTTGATTCTTAACAATTATTTTTGTTTTTAATCTGTAGCACTTTGGGATTCTGTGTGAATATAAAGTGCGTTATAAATAAAAATTATTATTATTATTATTATTATTATTATTATTATGACCCTGTGCAAACTTTGTTATCTGATGCTCATTTCAGAGATTCCAATATAATGACATTTTTGAAGACACCATGCTGAATCTGTCATTCTGGTATGATTCTGTTATCTTACACTGATTTTAGACATTCTAGGATAATTCTGTTATATCATGCTTATTTTTAGAGATTCCCTGAAGCTACACAGAAACACATGAGACAGAACTGAAAACATACACACACACACACACACACACACACACACACAAGGCCAGTGGAGCAGGGCACAGGGACAGATGTTGTAAGCACAGTGCGTATCTCTCTCTTGACTGCCTCTATAGAGGAACTAAAGCTGGAGAGGGTACGCGGGGAGGGGGTGATAAAGTGCGACACACTTGTGCCCGCGAGCCAGGGGATTTTCAGCAGTGAGTAATGGAGCTTTGTGCAGTGATAAAACCAGTCTCCAGCCAAGTGCTGCCTGAGACCTAAAACATATAGAGGGCCTAAAAATAAACGTACAATGCTGTATGAGTTAAATAGGTGAGTCGAGATCCTATCCAAGCCATATTTCACCCAAAAATCAACAGAAGCCTATTTCGGGATCATTAAGATTTTTGTTTGCATTGTGACGTTATTTTCAAAAGATTTAAGCACTTTCCCCCACAAATTCTCATTACAAAAATGTATCAATTTTTCTCAGTAATCTTCCTCATTTGATTATTTTTTGCCAGTAGCTTGTATTATCGCATAACAAAATAAACATGTATTTAGAGGCCCTGTGCTAAATGGCACACATGATGTGCTTGCGATCTTGTGATGGGCATTGCTGACTGTGAAGACTACTAGACCTAGGGTGACCATACGTCCTCTTTTCCCCGGACATGTCCTCTTTTTGGACCTAAAAATATGAAATCACCCAAAATGTCCGGGATTCGGCTTTTGCTTTCTACAGTCACCATTCATTGTGTGCGTTTTTGTATTAAAGCCCTGCACGGGACTGTTTTCTGAATCCCGCTTCCAATTTCTGACCATTACCGCCTGCTCCCGCAAACGTTCTAATGTTGAATACAATTTTCGCGCATCAGGGAGCCGCTATCAATATGCGGAGTATTTAAATCCCTTTGGATACAGCTCGTGTTAGATGCAGGGTTGCCAAATCCCATTTTTTTCCCCACGGAATTGGGCTGATTCTAAACTGTTGTGGCGGGTTGATTTTCTCCCGTGGGTTAAACTAAAGTCAATTTTCTGTAGTCTTTGGTTAAACTTAGGTTTGAAATATTGCGTAAATTACATCTGACTGAAATGCCTGTATTAAAACATTTTGCATTCTACCTATGATAAAACTGTGGTAGATGTTAAGTTTTGTGAAGGATGGCCACTGGTAAAAAGCCTTTTAGCTGTGTTTATGATCAATCTGCAAAACGGTGTCTGTAAAATATGTATTTTAGGTATGGAAATGCCATATTTTGAGTTTTGATATGAGACATGGTCATTGCGCTACTTTGGGGGAAACTTTAACCCCCTCAAACCCAACCCCTATCCAAACCCAAAGACACAATAAATAAGATCATCAGAGTTCATGTTTTGCTATTTAAGTTAAGTGAGTCATTGAATCATTTACTCAACCAGTTCCATTTACAATACTTATTATATTTATTCAGGAATTAATCCTGAGACCTTTGTTAGGAAGTTAGAATTTTAACTGCAGCAATTTGGCTAAATTATAAGTTACTCAATTTTAATTTCTTGTTTAATGTTGTTGTATAGCAATATCACACTAGCAAGTGAGTTGTCGTTCTGAATATCAGCATGGCTGTGATTCGGTCACAGGTATTTATAGCCGTGCTGATATTCAGAACAACAACACTGTTGCGTGTCATTTTGCTTGATAATGTCACCAAGGCTAAAACCTTATAGAATCTTTAAAAGAAAATCCTAAAATCTCATTAAGCAGCTTTGCATTTTGGGTGTGTTTAAGCACACAGTATGTATGCTCACAAGGTCTTGAAACAGCAATAGAATGTGATGAACAGAACCCCATCAAAGAGTTACCTTCAGATGAAGGTTAATTCCAGGAGAAACATGCCGCAGGTGTTGTGCATTGAGCTCTCTCTCTCTCTCTCTCACACACACACACACACACACACACCGCTCTCTCTGTCTCTCTCTCTCTCTCTCTCTCTCTCTCTCTCTCTTTGATATGAGACATGGTCATTGCGCTACTTTGGGGGAAACTTTAACCCCCCTCAAACCCAACCCCTAACCAAACCCAAAGACAAAATAAATAAGATCATCAGAGTTCATGTTTTGCTATTTAAGTTAAGTGAGTCATTGAATCATTTACTCAACCAGTTCCATTTACAATACTTATTATATTTATTCAGGAATTAATCCTGAGACCTTTGTTAGGAAGTTAGAATTTTAACTGCAGCAATTTGGCTAAATTATAAGTTACTCAATTTTAATTTCTTGTTTAATGTTGTTGTATAGCAATATCACACTAGCAAGTGAGTTGTCGTTCTGAATATCAGCATGGCTGTGATTCGGTCACAGGTATTTATAGCCGTGCTGATATTCAGAACAACAACACTGTTGCGTGTCATTTTGCTTGATAATGTCACCAAGGCTAAAACCTTATAGAATCTTTAAAAGAAAATCCTAAAATCTCATTAAGCAGCTTTGCATTTTGGGTGTGTTTAAGCACACAGTATGTATGCTCACAAGGTCTTGAAACAGCAATAGAATGTGATGAACAGAACCCCATCAAAGAGTTACCTTCAGATGAAGGTTAATTCCAGGAGAAACATGCCGCAGGTGTTGTGCGTTGAGCTCTCTCTCTCTCTCACACACACACACACACACACACACTGCTCTCTCTGCATGTGTGATTTGAGAATGCTGTGAGTGGGTCATTTCCTGACTCTATAAATGCATGTGAGAGCATCTCAAATCACACCATCACTTAATAAAGGCAACTTCACCTCATGTCCACCCTGCCAGACAGAAACACGCACCATTACGCACAGATGCACACAACAGAAACATCCTCTATGCAAGGGTGAAAATGCACTGCAAGCACGTCTGTGGCATTAAACTGGATGTGTTACTCAGGTAGAAAGTTATAAACAGTGTAACTAACTTGCTCAGCAAGATTCTCCTCAAACTATTGCTCCACAGAAAACTGTCTGTAGAAGACAACAGTTCACACTAATGGCAACACCAATACATTTAAATTGTGATACCAGCATATTTGGATGCTGAACACTGTGCAGTGTACATGCTGCCTAATATTAAACAAATAATAAATAAATAAGTAGCATGTGCAATTTCTGTCTGAAAGCAGTGGTGAAGAGCAGCAGTTAGCGTGCTGACGGCTCATGACAGGCTGAGAGTGTAAATGTGAAGTGGCCGCAGCTGTTACCTCTCTGTCAAAAACACTTCCATTCAACTGTACCCAAAACTTTCTCTTACAGATCAAGTACACCAGGAAAATGAAATGAAATGCATGCCGTCCAAACCGCTGCTGTCATCAGGGACACATAATTGTGACTCTGAACACAGATTTGTCTGTCAATGAAAACAAAGCTTTCATTAAGAGAACACTCTTCTTGTTAGAGCTTGCTGGCTAAGACATATCAAATATCACTACTCACAATTAGAGTTTGAACGCCTTTAGTGGACATTGAAGGATATATTTTGATACATATATATATATATATTTTATATTTTTTAGAATACGTTTTAAATAATTGTGGGGGGGGGGGGGGTGTTATTTTTTTTTTTTTTTTTTGTAAACACTAAGTGAATTTGATTAAAAATAATTTACATTTTTTTAAAACATTACTTACATGCTTGTGTAATTATTTAAAATCTAATAGATTGTAATATAATACAGTTGGACGAAATGCAATATTTACTTTTCTCTATTTAATATGTTTAATGTTTTTTTAATAGTTATAATAGTATATACTATAATAGTAATAATAGATTTGCAGCAGAAAACTAGATTATTTTTATTTATTTTTTCTAACAGTGTGGTGGCAATTACAATACTTTGGCTGGCATTGAGGGTGACCATGAAAAAAAAATGGTGGAAAGCAATTAAAATTTTTTGCAAATTATTTCACTTTTTATTTTTACTTAGCGATGACCCCAATACACCTCTTGCATATTACTGTACAGCAGTAACAGTGTTTTTCCCACAGTGTTTCCCACACAAGTTTTCTTTATTTAAAAGGCTTTTAATTAAATGGCGAAAGCGCCGATCCAGCCGACGACATTCCGACTTTCAGTAAGTAGCCATGAACTTCTTCCCCTCCACTAACTTCACTCGATGCTTTCTAATTAAAGAGAACATTCCAAACTTTCTGCTCGACCACTAACTCAAAGCTCACTCGATCTGTGTGCCGCCCGCAGACACCAAACAACTCATTTCACTAAATTTTACATCAAAGCTGTGAACTATGACTTTGTCAAATAGACGATCAGGCATGAACAAAACGGCTTAAACAAGGTTGCATCCACTTACTATTTTCCTTTTTAAACTTTTTTTTGTGTGCAATTCACTTTGAGAAAGCGATCATAGCTTTCAAAACGCTCCAACTCTTACCTAGCCTGTTGTCCAGGACTCCGAAATCCAGCGTATACTTGACCACGTGGTAGTTATTCCACACATAGAGCAGATTGTCTCTGGGATTGTAAATGTTATTAGTAGCTGTGCTTTTAAGGAGGAGGCTGTGAATCTAGAATTAAAATATGCCATATTTCAACCTAACTTCATAAGAAATACAAGACCGTATTTTGCATAACAGAAATAAAGGTTATTTGTAAGACAGAAAGGTTTGTAAAATTATTATTTTTTTTTTTTTGCATTGTGACGTTCCATTAAAATAATATAAAACTGTACATACATTTCCACCCAAATATGTATTTTTTTCCCTTTCATTTCTGTTCATGGTGATTATAATTAGATTGTTTTTATTTAAATCAAATATAAATATTTTTCTGTAATAATCACATTTTTGTAAATGTGTAAAACTGTACAGTAAAACTAAATGATGCATTTATTTATAAATCAACAAAATAAATGAAGTAGCAAAAATAAATAAAAAAGTTCTCATTGGACAGTAATGAGAAGTTGGGTGTAAAATGTGCTTAATTTTCATGTATTATTTAAAAAAAAACTAAAAACTTAATCTTAAAAATAGGCTTCATTTTCTTTAAAGACCCCATGAATCACTTAATGAGTGCACTGATGTATTTCCTGTAGAAACAGGAAGTTGGGAAAGGACATATATCTCAGAGACCCAAACAAAAGAAGTTACATTTTTGTTCAATTTGACGACGTACAGGATCCCACAGATCATGAAGGCGTTGGAAGCGGAGCGTTTGTCGTAGGCCGTATCCCAAGTTCCCTCGACACGTAACGTATATGGGTTGAGCTGGCTGATCACGATCTGTCCGTTGTTTTGCTCCGTGGCGTAAATCACCCAAAGACCATTCTCGTCCACCGACAAATCGATATCCGACTTGCCTCCCCAGCGATACGGCGAAGTGTCGTGATAGTTTGCGCTAGCGATGATAGCCTCGCCGCTTTTGATGCGAGTGCGCAAATCGAACTTGACGATATTCCTAGTTCGCTCCTTGTTGAAGAACAGTGCGCCGTCGTAGACGACGAACCCGGTGCCGTCGACCCGATGGGGGAGCTTGTAGGTCGTGGTGGGTCGTCCATACTCGGCTGTTTTAAACATAATTATAATAATAATAGATGTTTTTGAGCAGAAAATCAGAATATTGGAATGATTTCTGAAGGATCATGTGACTGGAATATAATCCAGCTTTGAAATCACAGGAATAAATGACATTTTAAAATACATTCAAATAGAAAACAGTTATTTTAAATAGTAAAAATACTTCAAATTTTGACTGTTTTTGCTGTACTTTGAATCAAATAAATGCAGGCTTGCTGAGCAGAAGAGACTTCTTTAAAAAAAACATTAAAAATCTTACTGTTCAAAAACTTTTGAGTGGTAGTGTATGTTAGAAATGTGTTGCTGAGTCAGCGTTACACATTTGGGCTGCTTTCAGTGATCCATTACATATTTTAAAGGAAAGTGATAAATGCAGATTATGGAGGAGAATGAAATGTGATTTGGATGACAATCCTTCACTATGCTTATATCAGAAACGTCGATACTCTCGTATTTCAGCTCAATAAGACTGTGCCGTATCACTTTCGCTAGACAATGTAACATTTATATAATGCATGCACTGAAAAAAGTGGTGCAAGATTCAATTTGAAATCATTTTCACTCAGAAATTGCAGAAAATCGAAAAACACTGAAAGACTGTATTTTCATGCAAAGCATACTCCAAAAAAATCTGATTTATTTATGTTTGTTTGTTTGTTTTATGAACTTTGAAAAACCATTTTATGGGTATTATAATCATACTGTGAGCACTTCCATGTCCCAGGGGATGATTTTATGAAAATAATAAAAAACACTCTAAAACAGTACCGTTTTACATTAGTTTGTTTTGCTACAAATGAATTTTAATTTGGATCTTACTCCTTAACTCTACTTTCACTATTAATTTCACTCATTACATTACAATAGATATCCACACAAAGAAATAGGTAAGATTCTGTCATACTGTTCACTTTTCTTTTGTAAAACACTAAAGGAGAAATTTAGAAGAATGTTCATGCTGCTCTGTTCCACATACAGTATAATTAAGGTTAACAATCCATAGAATTTGTGCAGAATGTTCAAAGTCTTTATACATTCTAAAGCTATGTAGCCAAGTGTGGAGAAATAGTATGAAGTTGAAGATTATTCTCTGAGGATTTTGCCTTCACACCAAGTTTGACATCCACGGCAGCAAATGTCACTGGTTCAAGTTTGAATATTCACATGAGATTTCTTCTGCGGTCAAGAAGATTTTCAGACTCTCAGGACTTTAGAAAGACTTGGAATACAGTGCAGAATAATTTCAACTATTTATTTTATTTTAGATTTTATTTACTTTAATTGTATTTTTATTGTGTGTGCCATTTTTTATTTTTTTATTATTGTGGGCGCTTGCCATCCGTGGTGACTATAGCAGCAGTGTGAACCAGGGCCACAAATGAACTTTCCATTAAGGGACGATATCTGACCTCTTAATTACTTAATCAACTACTTAAATCAGTCAGAATGCTATAGATTAGCAGTTCTCAACATATAAGACCCACTGGTTTCCAACATGATATTCGAAAGCTCTCTATCCGTACCATTTATGCAGCTTCTGCTTTATATATTGAAGTCATTAATATACTACATTAATGTGCTTAATTCATTTTAAAATCACCAAGATTCATTTTTTTGTGATTCCAAAGGTAATGTTTTGTGTTCCAGAACACTGTGTTCTTCAATTAAAACAATAGTTATAAATATAAAACTATTACTATATTTCCTTTTACAATACATCTTGATTTTGTGTGATTTTATTTTTATATTAATCGCTTATTACTTGAAATACTTTTAAGTCATCCCGAGGCCCCCTGCCGGTTGAGAATGATTGCTATCGATGATTTCCAATCAACTTTTAGCAACATCGTTGATGCATTTTTTGCATTCATTGATGCATTGGTTATTTTGAATTTGGGGGGCATTTTTGCCCCAATCCCGTGTTCATTTCTAATTTCTTGAGAATGTCTTCTTCTGTGTCCCACAGGAAGCCAGAAATCCACAAGGGTTTGGAAAAAGCATGAGTTTGAGAAAATAATGTTTCTCTTTAGGAGTGAACTAGTCCTTTAGAAACATGTGCATCTACTCCAGGACGCGCCAAACTTTATTCCTGGAGCGCCAAACTATCCAGCAGAGTTGAGCTCAGCCCTAATTAAACACACCTGAAGCGGTTAATCAAGGTCTTCAGGGTCACCAGAAGCTTCCAGACAGGTGTGTTGGATCAGGCTGGATCTGAACTCTCTCCCTCGAGGAGACGGATTGGATGCATGCGGAAAGATTTCATTTCGACTTGAAGTTGGCATTTAAAATGTTGATAAATAAGAGGCGGCTTATTAATGACAGCTGGTCAGAGGGGCCAGAGGCCGCGGAGACATAATAATGAGCTTATATTTATTACAATCCGAACGGATTCCATCCCGATGCTAAGATATTGTCAATTTGTGTCAATGTGATTTATTGCGTCTGCGCGCACAAAACTAATAATAAGCGTATTTTGCTCCATTCGGCTTCGCTCTAAGCAGCGGCGCAGCATCAGAACAGAACGATTGTGTTTTCTTCCAGGGCTTTCGCTCCGAGAAATTGATTAAAGCCCAAGCCTGACTGCGGCGATCCATACACTTAACCAGATTAGGTTAGAAATATATAAACTCATTCCAATTAATTTCCTGCGAGGGTCAAATCTGTTGATACCACAGACAGTGTAATCTACGCTACATCTGTGATGTTTATGATTGCAGAAACGCTCCGAACGGTCAATAAATTACAGCCAAACGCTGCCGTTCTTACATCATATCTGGCCGTTTCGTCCACTTTCATGTTCCAGCGGTTGATTTTATGAAAACAATAAAGATCACTCTAAAACGGTCTTGTTAGAATGTTTTACTTTCAGCTTTCATTTTTACTGCAAACGCCTTTTATGCAGATTTCACTGCTTTACCCTTAACTTTCAATGCTAAACTATGAAAATCCATCATAGAAATATAATACATGTGTGAATAAATAATACTTGAATACTAAACGGGGTAAAATGACCCATTTCAATATTTATTGCATGAAACTGATTTGTGTGAAGATTATTAATGCATTATTATTATAACAGTTTATTCACTAAGAAAGCTTTATCTAAAGTTACTTTATTTATTTATTTCCAAATAATGCAAGAAGAGTGTAAATCTATTTAAAATATATAACATGTAAACTGAATAGAGTAAAATAAGCCAGTTATTTGTGTGAAGATCGTTAATAATTTCTTATGATTAGTATAGTAAATTATTATTTTATAAAGCGTTATCTAAAGTTTCTTCTTATCTCTTTTTTAACCAAATTATGCAAGAATGGAAATATTTAAAATATTTAATATAACCTGTAATGCATAAACAAAACAGTGTTAAATAAACCATTAATATTTATTGCGTGAAATTATTTGTTTGAAGATTAAAATAATTTTATAAATAAAGTTTATCTTGTTATTTCTTAACTTTGTTTTTACCGAATTGCGCAAGAAGCGTCAAAATATATTTAAAATAAATGATATAATGTACAACGTAGACAATAAATAGATAAAAAAGCCATTTTAATATGTATTTGTGTGTAAATGATGTCTTAAGATAATCATTTATTGTAATCATTAATTTATTTTCTAATAAAGCTTTATGTGAAGTTACGTCTTTTTGGCAAATTATGCAAGAGTAGTAGTACAGATGTACTGTATACAATGTAACATATTCAGAAGTATATAATATAGCATATTTAATGTGATGGATGCGGTTGAGGAAATTACATTTCTTCATGACGGTCCAGAGGAAAAATGTCAGATTTCTCCAGCGTTGCATTTATGCTCACATTATTAGAGAAAATAAGCCAGTGAGTTTGGAAAGTTTCTTCTAAAGGAATCTAATTCCCAAAAGTCCACAGGGCCAAAAGTGGCCATAGTTGAAGAAACTCATTTCGTTGCTTGATATTGTGAAAAATAAAGCTTCCTCTGGCTCTGTGACTGAATCCAGCGGCTCCATTAGTTAGTCTGAGCGTCTCTGAGAGAGAAAATAATACGCTGCTCAATGCTTACACAGGTGTTAGAAAGGTTAATGAAGAGGGCCGTTCAGCTCCTGCGTCAGCGCCGCTGTCCCACACACTCACACACACACACACACACACACACACACACACTCACACACACACACACACTCTCTCT